TCTATTCTATTCTATTCTATTCTATTCTATTCTATTCTATTCTATTCCATTCCATTCCATTCCATTTCACCCACCCCACCCCACTCCACTCCACTCCACTCCACTCCACTCCACTCCACTCCACTCCACTCCACTCCACTCCACTCCACTCCACTCCACTCCACTCCACTCTACTCTACTCTACTCTACTCTACTCTACTCTACTCTACTCTACTCTACTCTATTTTGATTCACCTATTCTTGTTCTATTTGCCCTTTGGCTTAATGATCCCATGGTTTAAAGTGATGGAGCAGTGGTTAGAGTGTAGTTCTGCAAGCTACTTCTGCTGCCTGCTGGCTGCCTACAATTTGGCAGTTTGAATCTCAGCAGGCTCAAGGTTGACTCATTCTTCCATCCTTCCCAGGTGGATAAAATGATGACCTAAATTGTTGGGGGCAATATTCTGACTCTGTAAACCACTTAGAGAGGCCTGTAGAGCACTGTAAAGTGGCATATAAGTCTAAGCACTCAAAATTTCTGCTACTGGTTCTTCAGAACTTGTCAGAACCTGCTGAATACCACCTCTGATTTTAATAGACGTGAAAAAACTGTCCCTTCATCATTAAAATTTCAATGGCTTAATTGGATTTTCCCTTCTTCAGATAGGGAAAGTTCCAAATCTTTTCTCTTCACACCAATCACCTGATTCTTGCAAATCACATTGGAAATATCCCATTTTGAGCTATTTTTTTTCTACTGTAGGACTTTTGGTCCCAAACAGAAATCTAATATTATCCTGAATACTGTGTACTTTCCCCTGCCCCCTTATTGTCATACTTAGGGATTGATTTTGTCTTTGACTAATCAACTGCCCTTGGAAAGGAAAAAAAGATAAGAGCAATTTTGCCAGACTCACGCTCAATGCTTTTGTTAATTCTGGTGTTGGTGGCAGCATGCTCCACATTGCAGTGGAATGACTCAGATTCCCACTGGCTGATGGGGATGGTGAGCAGGCTGGTGTGAGTATACTGGCCAGATGAATGAACTGGAGGGAAGTGTTGGATTCCACTAGTGATGGCACCTGAATTCCATTGCACTGTGGCTGGTTCAGGAAAGTAGCTTTTGACGAGACAACCGATGCTAACATTGGAGTCTGTGGAAGTTTCCCCAGTCACTTGGGTTTCATCATTAGAACTCAATGGGAACACAGTGGGGGCTTTGGGAGTTTCTGTAGGGAAAGATAAAGACAAGATGATGAAAATGGGGTTGATATACCCTCTAATGGACCTGGGAACCTCTAGAAAATTATTCTACCCCAGTGTTTTTCACCCTTGGCAACTTTTAGATGGGTGGATTTCAACTCCTAGAATTCTCCATTGAACTCCTAGAATTCTCCATAAATATCTTAAGGGTGCCAAGTTTGACAATCACTACTCCATACTACTCATGTAAGTTTATGGAGAGAGAATTTGTGAGAAACAGTGGCCCTGCCATTCCGATTGGATTCTCCAAATAGATTTCATTAGGGAGGTAAATGTAGAATAGCACTCTGGTGCCATTGGAGAGTTCCACCATCTGGAATCACCTGAAATACAAAATTTAATTAGTGCATGGAAGACAACCCAAGCATATTTTTACATTATGAGGTGTAGAATTTTCTTTTAAGTAAAGCAAAATTGAGGTTATTCATTTGCTGAAATTTGCAATATATCCACACCCTTGTTTCTCCTTAAGCCCTTTGTTTCAGAACTTGGAATGCTAATTCAGGTTGTCCTCAATTTACCACAACTCATTTAGTGTCCATTCAAAGTTACCATGGTGACTTATGACTGTTTTTCACACTTACGACATTGATCATGTGATCAAATTTGGACACTTGGAAACTGGCTCATATTTATGATGTTTGCAGTGTCCTGAGGTCATAGGATCACCTTTTGCGACCTTGTGACACACAAAGTCAATGAGGAAGCCAGATTCACAACAGCCATGTTACTAACTTCAAAAGAACTGTGGTGATTTATTTAACGACTATGACCAGAAAGGTTGTAAAATGGGGCCAAAGTCACTTAACAACTGTCTCACTTAGTTACAATTTTGGGCTCAGTTATTGTAATTCAAGGATTCCCTGTAGCCTGCATATAAGGAAAGTTTAGCTTTTTGAGTTCAAAGTACGTACATACAATTAGACAGAAGGTGTTATATATTGTTCCATAAATGAAGTTAAGGCAATGATATGATGAATATAAGGAGTGATGCCATATTTTTGTAGTAAAGGACAAAGGTAAAGTGAAAGAAAAAGATTTTGTTTCACACAAGAGACACAGAATTTAAAGCAACTGCTATTTAAAGAATTTTTACATTATGAGGTGTAGAATTTTCTTTTAAGTCAAGCAAAATTGAGGTTATTCATTTGCTGAAATTTGCAATATATCCACACCCTTGTTTCTCCTTAAGCCCCTTGTTTCAGAACTTGGAATGCAAATGCAGGTTGTCCTCAATTTACCACAATTTCACAAAAGAATTTAAAGCCTCTTCCATGTGAAGGGAAAATGGGTTTTGAATTGAAGCTTCCTTTATTTTCTCCCAAAGGTACTTTTTCAAGAGGGAACTGGACCTTCTGGTTTTTCTTGGAAGACATTTTGCTTCTCATCCAAGAAGCTTCTTTAGAGCTAAAGAAGCTTCTTGGATGAGAAGCTGAAGAAGCTTCTTGGATGAGAAGTTTAAGGTCTTCCAAGAAAAACCAGAGAGTTCAGTTGCCTCTTAGAAAAGCTCCTTTGGGACAAGCATGACCTGAATGAATGAGAACCTCCATAGACACTTCTCTATTTTATTTTATTAAACCAATTTATCACCCATCTTACAGGCGACTCCCCTACCAACAAACACTATCCAAACCTTATTCTTTCAGTTAAGAAGGTCAACTCAATCTCATTTCTACTGATGGACAAAGCATATCCCATTGGAGGCAAATCCTATAATGTCTCAGTCTGAACATTTCATTTCAAAGGCTGAACATTTCATTTTCAGTGACATGCATGCCTTTGAATGCAATTTCGCAGTCAACCTCCAGAAAGAGAAAAACTTTGGGGAAGAGGTAACAGCAAAGTCTATTAAAGGGAAAGAAGCACGTAATAACAAGCTGATAAAAATCTATGGCACGAAACAGAAGTTCACTTTGGCTTAGACACATCACAGATCAAGACACAGAGCACCAATATGAAAGATGCTTTCTTAGAAGAAGGAAAGGGAAGAAAAAGAGCCAAGTACCTCTCCACCAGCAGTCAGCATCCAAATGACTATGGATTAACTCCAAGGTTAACATCAGAACAACAATCAAATAAACAACATCCCAATCAAGGAACCGCTACACAAGCTAACAGTAAACAGCCCAACCAAAAAACCCCATCAAGATGACTAGAATATAAATGGAGAGCATATCCCACTCCATACTACACTGATGATGTTGCCTAATTGGGTAATGAAATGTCTGCAAGAAATCAACCAAGCTCAGAGACCACCAAGGACCCCTCATAGGACAAGAAAACCCACTCAGTCAACGTATCTCAAAATGCATTCCCATCTTCAAAACCTAAGTGTTACTTCCTCTTATTCAGCTCCATTTTTGACTATTGTAGCCCTGCATGGTTTAAGTAAAGAAGCAAGAAAGTTGCGATGGAAAAAATAGAGCACGGATCACACTGTGTGCAAAACATCTGCAGTAAAATGGATTAATTTAGATTCCACTTCCATTTGCTATGTTTTGAATTCAAGATGTGGAAGATTCTCTATCATTTTTGTTATCAGTTTTGTGGGAGTTCAGAAACCCTATCGCCATCACTAAATGTTGAGTAATGTTTCTTTCCCAGTAGATGTACCATTTTACAATCTTTCATCTGGTAGAGCAAGACAATTTCATCTAACTGTGCCAGGATACAAACAACCAGACGGTTAGTTTAGGGCTTTGGAGATCAACCTGAAATCCTATCAAAGGCCATCTGAATTCAAACTGAAGCTAAAGACAAAGGAACAAATTTAAAAAAAAGAGAGAATTGGCATTCCTGAACTTAACTTTCCCCCAGTAACTTGAATTTCAACATCTTTATCCATGAAATGTGTTTGAATCTTTATCCATGTTTCTTTCAAGCCACTCTAGCCTCGTTTATTATCTATACTGGTTGATATTTCCCCAGCAATAGGCTGACATAAATGTCATGTTTCACAGGATACTGGGACTTTGGCCAATCTTCAGAGAGAAAAATAATCTTAACCTCACGAGGCTATGAACAGATGGATAGTTCACGAGTCCAACAATACACAATTCCTAAGAAAGAGAAAGATTAGTCTAGCTCTGATGGGGACAGCAAGTTAAATTCTTGTGATTTTCTATGATGCTGAGCAACAGTGCCTTGTACTTGTTATCAAGGGTCATGCTAGGGGTAAGGATGATGGGAGTTACAGTGCAATATATTGCAAAATTCTATTATAGGTGAAAAGTGTCAATTTACAAGAACTGTTCTGCTTTTATCTGGCAGTAAACAAGGACCCTCATTGTGGGAGTTAAGGATTTGACTTTTACCTAGGATTCAGTTGTTCTGATGGGTAAAATTTCCCCTTTGGTTTTAACTCCTTGGTACAATCTAGTCCCTAATCTACAGGACCCAGATCTAGAATCTGAGATGTCCCAGTAAAAATAGCACTAGGCTAACCTTATGTGTTAGGTCCTTTATATCTCCTCAGCCTCTTTCATGCTTTGTTACACACTTCCATTGTTAAACATGGAGGAACTAAGATTGCTAATCACTTTTGCTAACCATCCATACCTCTCTACAGGCCTTAGCAAGCCATCTATCAGTAGGACAAGAAACAAGGGATGGAAACTAATCAAGGAGAGAAGCAACATGGAATTAAGGAGAAACTTCCTAACAGGGGGGACAATTATCCAGTGGAACAGCTTGCGTCCAGACATTGTGGGTTCTTCATCACTGGAGGTTTTTAAGAAGAGATTAGAGAGCCACTTGTCTGAAATGGTATAGGGTCTCCTGCCAGGGCCGGGGGCTGGACTGCAAGACCTCCAAGGTCCCTTCCAGCTCTATTCTGAATCATCCTATGAATGTCCCTCTTTGAAGAGCTATTGCCTACTGACCTTCCTGCTGCTACCGGCAAAGGAGCAAGTTGAATTATGATTTATTTCTTATTTAAGTGGCAATCCTAAATAAAACCAAGACTCGCCTTGCTTCCACCTTCTTGAACCCAGTTAATCATCTGGGGGATTAGAGATTGCCTAAATCAGGCATGTCCAAAGTCCGACCCGAGGCCAATTGTAGCCCGTTTTCAAATTTTGAGCAGCTTGCAGCCTCTTCTTCCCACCGGCTCAGCCTGTCACTCATCACTGCCAGCCGGCATTTAATGTTAATGGTTCAAGAATGTCAGGCTGAATGGTCGGCCCCCACACATTTTCACCTCACCAAATCTGGCCCTACTTGCAAAAAGTTTGGACACCTCTGGCCTAAATGAAGTCTTGCCCTGCCATAGGGTTTCTCCTGCACCTAGATGGTGCCCAAAACCTTCCCAGCCAACCCTCATTCTGATAACCAGCATCCTTGCAACCAATCCCACTCCATTAATTTTCCACCTGAAATGTGACTGGGCTCATGCTTTCTCCTTTCCTGTAGTTTCACTGCAGCCTAACATTAATTTGGGAGGAGAGAAACATTCAGCAGCAGTCCAGAAATTCCTCCAGCTCACCTGAGCAGAACCATCTTTGAGGAACAGCAAGGCACACCTGGGAATCAAAACCTTTCTGCTGGAAGCTTTTCTCATCATGAATGAATCCTAAATTTAGCAAAGGATGGGTTTTTTAAAGGCATTTCCTTTAGAATCTCCCAGATGTGAGCAGGCACTGAACCTTCATTTAAGTTGCCTCTTTGCTCTTCACTAGCTTGTTTGAACCTAAAATACCCATAAAAGAACCAAAAAGCTTACAGATGTGCCCAGGGCACATAGCAGGTAACCAGTTAGTTTCCTTCTCCTTACCAACTGATCTGAAGCGAGCAGCAAGCTTCCTTACCAACTCAACTCAGAAGTGGAGAATTTTTGGAGTGAGCGTTAGGCTGGAACCTAATTCTAAAAATTCTTTCCAATTCCTGAACTTCAAACCTATCTTCTCCTAACTGAAATGGCAGGCTTGGCAATGGGGTAATATTCTTACTCCTTGCTACTTTCTCTAAACCCTAGCATTAATCAGAAAGCTCGTAGCTGGGCTTCTGGCTGAGTGTACAAACCCATATAGCCCGTTTCTACTCACTAGCTTGATTAAATTCTGAATACAGGTAGGATAGCAAATGGCACAGTGAAGGATCCAATATGGAATGGGTTTTCTTTTTCCTAACACTCAAGCCCAAAGTAACAGATCTCCAAGCTGAGTTACCCCAAGACACCCATACCCTATAATTCAAATTTGAGACCAAGAACTACCAGTCAAGGATCAAGCTTGGAGTAGTTGTTGAGTTACTTCATCCTAGCCCTCAGCTGAAGCTACCAAATCTCTCCTTTGATTTTCACTAGCAGAACCCCCCAGATAAGCTACTCCAAGGCACCCGTATCCTAGAATTCAAATTTAGGATCAAGAACTACCAGTTGAGGTAAAGAAAGCTTGGAGCAGATGTTGAGTTAATTCATCCTAACTCTCAGCTGAGGCTATCAATTCTCTCCTTTGATTTTCACTAGCAGAACCTGGAGTTGTTTGCTATGGTCTAAACTTCCCAATCAAATATCAGGACTGTGGGGTTATTTAGGTGATCCTACTGCTGCACCTTCAGCTTGTCTCCTCCTGCACATTGTGTGCTAAAATATATTTCAGTTGAGTTTGGTTGAGGCTTCAGCTCCAGGATCTTCCAATTAATAGAATAGGATAGAATAAGAATTAGAATTAGAAGAGAAGAGAGTTAGAAGAGAAGGAGAAGAAAATAACAAGAGTTGGAAGTCTTCTAGTCCAAATCCTGCTCAAGCAGGAGATGCTACACCTTTTGAGACAAATGGTTGTCCAATCTCTTCTTAAAAACTTCCAGTGTTGGAGCACTCACAACTTCTGGAACCAAGTTATTTCACCAATTAATTGTTATAACTGTCAGGAAATTTCTCCTTAGTTCTAGGTTGCTTCTCTCCTTGATTAGTTTGATTGAATAAATCTTATAAATGAATCTCCTAACCTGAGATAGAGTATCTGCCAAACCCAACTGAAGTTAGACTATAATCTGGAACACGAAGACTTCTGGTAGTAACTACAAATTGCCCAGTTTCCAATTGCGAGGCTCACCTGAAATCTAAAGGATTGGGGTGGAATGCAACTACCTGATAAATTGTTCTAAGCCTGATGGACCAAGAATTTTCAGTCTACTGGTTCTTTCATTGGTGAGATAGGTGGAAGACCAAGTTTTACAATTCAGCAACAGTATGGAAATGTGGACCTCAAGTTCTCTTAATTTTCTATATTTTCATCTTTCAAAGCCCCAGATTTTGATGAATATTGTACTTACCAAGCCAAGTGCCAGCCTCGGTTCAGTGTCAATCTATAATCTGTCTCAGAACTTTCCCCTTACTTTGTTCTTAAAAGAGTGTCCCCCCAAAATATTTTATTTTCCAACTAGTCATGTTCTTTGAGCTAGCGTGAAGGTGTGAACAGAAAACAACAACCAGGCCCTGTGGGTCCCAGAGATATATTTGGGATCCAAAAGGTGCCATCATAAAAGCAATAAAAAAGCATTAACCACAGAGAACTTCCCCATTTGCTGCCTTTGGTTGTCCATTTTCAAAGTCCAAAAATTTCATCGCTAGGCAAGGCAAAGCTGTAGAAGTCAACCTGAACAAAAAATGCTAATCTAGGGGATAAGGCTAATCCAGGGAAAAGAAGGATTGGGGGGTGGTGGTGGAGACATGATAACATATTCCAGTATTTGTGGGGCTGCCACAAAAAAGAGAGGGTCAACTTATTTTCCAAAGCACCAGAAAGCAGGACAAGAAACGATGGACATAAACTAATCAAGGAAAGAAGCAATCTGGACTTGAGAAACTAACTAATGGTGAGGACAATTAACCAATGGAACAGCTTGCCACCAGAAGTTGTGGGTGCTCCATCATTGGACATTTTAAAGAAGAGAATGGACAACCACCTATCTGACATATTATAGGGTTTCCTGCTTGAACAGGGGGTTGGACTAGAAGACTTCCAAGGTCCATTCCAGCTCTATTCTGATGGATCCTGATTGATTCCCATTCCACCAGGCCCCCAAATCTCTTCCTCACTTATATTTCAAATAACTATGGATCACCATTTTGGCCAGGTCATGTTTTTGTAAGTCATAATTGCTGCCTCCTTGGAGTGGCCATCATTTTCAGCACTCTTGCAACGCCTTAATGTGGTATGTATAGTGCTAGAGCTGTGAAGACCATGTTACCAAAGCAAAATGAAACAGTTTCTCCATAGTGGCCTCATGGAAATAGTTATTATTTTGTTCCACCCATATTAGTGTTCCAAAATGGTGGCTGCTTCTGGGTTGCTATCTTAACTCATGCCTACTAAGCGTAACATCTATAGATGAAGATGGTAATGATGATGACGATGAAGATGATGATGACCTTCTCAACCTTCCCCAACCCAAACTCCTTCAGAACATCAGGGCTGAAACTGCTGGAGATCCACAGCAAATATTGCCATGCTTAGTTGAAGATATTGGGCAGGTGGATTGGAGGCGCCAGAATTGGTGGTAGACTATCCTTGAACTGCAAAGGACATTGGGAAGGCAGACATGAGTTTGGGTACAATTGGCCAATGAGCTGGATGATCCACCCTTTCAATACCTCTCAGCACAGTTGCCATGTGCTCATCTCCTTCTGTCCTCAGTCTCTCTGAAGCCACCATGGTCCTCTAGTCTTGATACCCTCCTCAGGTCTTCTTTTGCAGGCTGCTGGTAACCCATATTGACATTGCAAAGAGAAGAAAGTTGATGCTTCTGCCTCATCCAAGAATGGAGCAATCCAAAGGGTTCAAGAGATTGGATGCTATTGTGGTGAGCAGAGTATAGAGAAAAAGAACCACGAGAGAAAGGACCATGTACTCCAATTTTCTGGAGCCCAGTGGACCTAGGTATATAGTGGATCTTTGTGTCTCATAAATGACATCATTATATTATTCCCTCAAAGTAAATTGCATGACATTAGTAGCTCCTTTGCACCTCACACACTTGTTTTTTATTTCAGTGACAAAAATATAGAATATGAAGTACAACAGTGCTTCCAGTCGGGAATCCGACAACAGTGACTTTGGGGAAAGGCAGTGATAGGAGCAATAAGATACAGATAAAGATTAACAAAGTTGGAAGGGACCTTGTAAGTCATCTAGTTCAAACCCCCGCCCAAGCAGAAGACCCTACACTATTTCAGACAAATGGCAGTCTAGTCTCTTCTTGAAAGCTCTTTATTATTTTCTAGCAAATACAATGAAGATGACAAAAATATAGAATATGAAGAATAGCAACAGTGCTTCCAATCTGGAATCCAACCACAGTAACATTGGGGAAAGGCAGCAATAGGAACAATAAGAGTCACAAAATATCAGGGGACAAGGCTGTATCTATGTTACTATTAATAAAATATAAGGAAATCACACATTCTTTGTATTGGCTGATCTAAGACCATTGGAGAGGCTGAGGATATATTAAAGGCGATAGCCACAGAGATTAAAAGACTTTGGGATAAAAGGAAGACTTAAATCTCCACCTTGGGCTGGGGAGTTGGAATCAGGAACAGTTTGAGAAGCTTGTTAGAAGATTATCTGCTTTTTGCAGGAACTTTGGTAATACTTTAATTTGAAAAGATGGTTGTTTTTGGGAGATGATGTTTGTGTTTTCCTTTTTGCAAGATGACTCTGTAAAGTTCAGCTGATATTAAGCAGAAATAAGCTTGGGAAATGGATTCAAGCAAAGTAGCCTCTCCTCCATCAGAACATCATCTACAACTCAAAAAGAAGAGAACTGGTGGGTCAAGGAGAAGGGTGGGATTGAAAGACATTGAACCTTCAGAAATGGGTACTATGTTCGTTGCTGGATTATATTCTTGTAGTGGGGCCTATTGACTTCTTCTTCAGCTTCTTCAGAGCAGATGCAATCCATTTGACCTGTTTAGAGGAGGTGGGAATAATGAAATCATAAAGCTATATTAGCAAACATAAGTCATATGAAGGTATAGAAAAAGAGTTGATAGGCATTTTCATGAAGTTGGTGATTGTGTATTCTTT